AAGCCGATACAGTCCCTCGTACAATTTGTTTCTAATTTCGATACTCAGTAACTCTTAGCTTAATATTAATTGAAATAAATAATATACTTTATTAAAAAAAAAAAAAAAAAAAAAAAAATAGAAAGATTATAAATTCAAATTCAAATTCAATACTGAGTGATAAGAAAAATGAAAACAATTTAAACAAAACTTAAGCAAAAGAAAAAAAATTAAAAATTTTTTTAAATATATAGATTTATATAAATACCTTGGTTTATAACCATTATAGCCATAGGGTGCATAAGCACCACCTTTTATATTATAACCGTACCCGTAACCGTACATTAATGTAAATTAATATTTAAAAAAAAATAAGAAAAATATTTACGTTTGCTTTTGGGTTTTTTGTTTTCGCTTTGCTTGCTATAATTATTTGTTAACTGAAAAATAAAAAAAAAAATAATAAAAAAAGGTTATTAAAATACTTCGTTTTGATAATTTAATGCGAAAGTATTGAAAAATTTACAAAACAAAAGGCAAGTATTGGCAACCCTGATGATCACATTTATCCCATAAAAAAAGAACGCAAAGTAATAAAAAGACCGGTAACTGTAGTTCTTATGTCTTACGCGCAAATATGTACACGATGTACGTACAAAAGAAATGGGGGAAACAAGCAAACTTTGTTACATTTTTTTTTCTGTTCATTAAAACAGAAGAAAATTAATTTATTTCAACTAAAATGTCACGCTGTGAAAAATAATTTTTTTCAAATATAAAACAGCATCTTTTCTTTCTATGCTTTCTTATAAAAAGAGGGAGGGTTGAACTATATACAGAAAAAAAAAAAAAATAAGCATGACAGCTAGATAATATAATGCAAATATAATTTGCAGAGATTATTAAAAACGCGAAAAAACCTAGTAAAAACAAAGTATCAAAAGACGCGGAGGAGGAATAAGCAAATGTACATCAACCCACGTACATTCGAAAGTACGCACACACAACACACACACACATTTAATGATGGCGTGTAGACATTTCAAATAACTCCTAACAAAAAAAATTTGACTTTAAAAATTTCTAGGTTAACAAGAATTTTTTTTAACAAATCTATCCAAATTCCTGGCGCACTCACACCCATGCACACGCACCCATTCATTGATATGAACTCTATAAAACGTTGGTTTTATTTCATTGGTAGTTTCTCACACGAGTTACTTTATTTTCCTTTCTTTTCAATTTCTTGTCACACATATTGCATTTTTCGCTTTTTTCTTCTTCTTGCTTTCCTTTTTTTTTTTTTTTATTAATTCTATAGAAACTTTTAGAATACACACCAAAAATATTTTTTAAGATTTTCTTTTATTTGTGTTGTTGCTGATGTTATTCTTTGGGAGCAATTACTGCAAATATGAGTTACTGCAGTGCTTCTCAATGATGAAACAATAAAAATATAAAGTTCTTGAATTGTTTCTTTTTTTTTTTTGGAGACACCAACAAAAAATAATTATATTAATTATGCCGTTTCCAAATTCCTTACGTGTAAGTAAACCGTACCAAGCGATAAATGAGACTGAGAATACATTCAGGACAGCATTGCCATAAGCAATATCAAAAATCCAGTTTCGAGTCGTAGGAATATGATTACCAACTCAAAACTATTCAGACATCGTAAAAACGGATTGACTAATTACAAATAATTTATTGTAAATAAAAGTGCCCTAGCAACGAATGATAATTCAAGCGAAAAGGAAGAAGTCTTCTTTTTTGACGATCCCTACAATCATTTAAAATTTAAAAATTTTTTAAATTACTAGAAGCAACTGTATAAAACGTAGTCGTTCACCACCAAAAGTCTTATAACCTTGAAATAGACCAGTATTAATTTATAGTAACATTTGCAAAAATTGGCGGGGGCTACAGACGTAGCGGCATCCTTGCAACTTTCTGAAATACGCGCTGCAAACCTTCTAAGCTACGTAAATAACATTAGATCGGTCAAAAAATATGAACCAAAATTAACGGTATTGATCCATTTACTTTCATCAGTTCCCCATAAAGATGAGTTGCGATAAAAGGTTCAAAATAAATTGGTACATTTTCGAAATATCTGTAAATTTTAGAACGTTTTTCAAGTATAGGGACTGTTTGTAAAAATTCAATATTTTTATAACAGCGCTTAAGGTAAATATGTCAATATAACATATGTCATGAAAATATTATGAAAATTTCGAACGGTAAGTTGACCACTAAACTATATGGAGTGATATTAAATGGATTGTGAATCGGTAGAGTTTTTGCTGCATACATTCGCAAAAATTTTTGTAACAATACTCTTGCGAGAATTAATGTAGAGTATAAAAAGAATAGAATATTTCGCTCGGTTCAAAATCCGAAATTCGTCTAGGCGTGTAATGAATTCTAGGAAAGATCAAGAAAGTTTTTATTGAATACGTTTTCAATTAGTTCATAAAGGCAGGAAAAACTCAAATTGATACTTTTCCATTTTAAGCTATTATTTTAAAAGAAGTCGTTCTGCATTCGAAATACGCTCGGTCAAGGCACACACACATGACTCTGAGTTAGCGGTTTCTGCGTGTTGTGTCTTACATATTCTACTTTTATATAGTTTTTTTGCTGTTATGAAAATAGTCTCTCCAAATATTGGCAACTCTGTCACTCTCATTATTGTGAAAATCGCGCGTGGAAATATTTTACTACAAAACAAAAATTAATGAATATGTACAATTTTATTACTTTTCTAAATTAAATTTTACGGCAAGATAAATTAAAAAAATAAAAACTTTTCTTATTTCATTTAATAGTAAACAATGGGTATGCCATGAAATTTGAATAATTGTGAGAAGAAAAACTGCAGTTCGAATTTTTTCAAGCAAGCAAAGCATTAACTTTCAAAATTCAAAGAGTGATGGAATAATCTAAAGCAGTTTTAGGTTCGCTTTGGTTTACTCAATTCATTCAAGTATTTTCGTTCTCTAGAACAGGCAGGTTATAGTTGATAGCAAAAACAAATAAACGACAACAGATACATAGAACAGCTTCATTTCTGTAGTAGACAAGCAATTCTGCTATTTAACATTAAACATAAAACTTGTGACAGCTTACGAAATTCGTATAAAAAGTTTTATTGGAAAGTATTCCAACTTCAGAAAGAATAATTATGAATAAAATATCAAAGTACGAAAAAGATGATTAATGTATTTTACGATGATCTTATTTTCTTTACAAAGTCATATTAATTGGAAAAAATGAGGTTTTGGGAAGATTCACAAACTAGTGATATTCTTTCGGCGAAATTTGGAGATGTCTATATGATTTTTAGATCACGAAAAAAAATCTAGCTATAAATTCCAGTTTCGAACCATAATTACGTAAACAAAAGTATACCCTTAAAAAATTCCCTTCTCGATTTTATTGTAGAACTTAAAATATAATTAACAATAACATAATTTTATAACGTGTTCGCTAAAGGCTTATAGATTTAAGTTAATAACAATATCACAAGCTTGTATTTAAATAAAATTGAGATGTGATGTATTCTTACACGTAATGTCTTGGCCTAAGACCTATGTTAATACCGGTTGTAGATCGTAAAATCAATTTTATGGAAGGCTGGGCCTCTGGACCGATAGGTAATAGCTCGTAATGGCGTAAAACTTTAATTAGGATTACACGAATTTCATTTAAAGCGAAACGTTGACCAATACAATTACGAGGGCCGGCACTAAACGGTATATTACTATAGGCAGTTGACTCCGTCGTTAAAGTAAAATGACGTTCGGGTTGAAAATTTTGCGGATTGGAAAAAACATGTGGGTCTCGTAACATTTCCCGAAGTAATATAATAACATTGGTTCCAGTTAGCAATGTGTAATCGTCTATCAAGGAGAGATAAAAGAAAATAAGGAAGGGAATATGAGAAAGAGATGTTGTTTTGGATATTTACCCATTTCCAAAGAAGAATCTAACATCCGCCCAATTGCCGAAATGGGCGGATAAAGTCTAAGCGATTCTTTAATAACACAATTTAAATACGGCAACTGTTGCAAATCATTGTAGTTTAATGGACGTTGTAAATCATCCCCGAAGTAGCTGTGCAACTCTTCAAATAACTTTTGCTGTTCATTGGCATGGCGAGATAACGCGTATAAGCAGAAAGAGATAGCGCTGCTAGTAGTATCGTGACCTTCGAATAAGAACGTATTCACCTCATCGCGTATCTGCTTATCCGTTAAAGGTTGACCATTTACATCAAGAGATGTTAATAAAACATCCAACAGAGCAGAACGTTTCTTAAGATGCAAATCGTTATCAGTTTGTGAGACCTTCCTCTCTAAATGGGAATTTTCTAACAAGAAGTCTTGACGTTCTCGTATAATTCGCTCTGTAAATTGGTGAATAATTCTCACACTATCCGCACGAGCTTTATGCAAGCGTGGAGACGTTAACCGTCTTAACCAAGGAATTCCCAAATGTGGACGTACAAAGCCATCTGATATTATATCGGTTACTCTAAAATAGAGAAAATTTATGGGTTAGGAAAAACACTTACACATATACGAGCTAGAGCGAGAGAAAAGGAAATTTTCTAGTTTATAGAGCAAAAAAAAAAAAAAAAAAAAGTTTAAAAAAGAAGGATGTAAAAATAACAAGGGAATCATACACTTTAACTGCCTTTACAAAGTCCATTTTAAAATTCAATTGAGCATTTATAGAAACACCCATGGCAGCTTCTATAGAAGAAAAAAAAAAAATAAATAAATAAAAAAATAAATAAAATTTAACTAAAAATGTTTGCCCCGAATCATACATATTCTCATTCACATTCATATTTCTTACCCGCTATATTGTCCAGCGTTAATAGACTCACCGCGTCGTAGATGTTCACATATTGCTTACCGTCAGCAAATTTTTCAAGTGTATTAATAAATGTATCTGCTTGATGATTAAATATTTCTATAAACTGTTCTAATATCTGAAAATGAAAGGTTGGCGTTATAATTTTACGCATTTGCTGCCAAATCTGACCACTGCTCAATAGTAAACCGGAGCCCAACCAATCTTTTAGAAAGTGATAGACAAAATGTTTACTTAAATGCTGACGACTGCTAAGCAAAGCATCGACTAAACGATGATCCACTGTGACAACTACCGTTTGGCCTATAATACGCGAATAGAATGTTTTACCATAGCGTTGCACAAACTGAGGCCATCGTATATGAAAATCTGTTAATAAAAAATTTTGTGTGCAAACTTTAATCTTTCAAAATTGGAAAGTGTTTAATGCGTTACTTACTGTCCGGATGCATGGTACCCAAAATTAAAAAAGACCCAATAAATGGTATCCGGGAAACTATAGGTATGTTTTTTAAAGTTTTTGTTGCCACCGAACGTTTATAATAGTCCCACGTAACCAGAATGGTTACAAATAAAATTATTTCCAAAAGCATTATGCTCCCTTGCAATATTCATCAAAACATAAATAAAATTTGTCAAAAATAAAATAAATAAAAAAATAAAAAAAACCTGTCAAATTTATAAAAAAAAAAACAATTTCTTTTATTTTGTATTCAAGATATATTATAATAGATGAAGGTGTACGCTTTCAAGCGATTCATTTTATATATATATGAAAAATTTCCAAAAAATAAAAAATAAAAATTCCAACTTGAGTAAATTAATGAACCGTGTAATAAAACAAAAATTTACTCCTGCAAAAGGGAAAGAAATTATCGTTCATAAGCAGTAAGTATAAAAGTAGGTCAACCGTCGTAAGAAAAAACCCGATCTAAGAGGACTTTTTTTTTTCTTTATCACTTTTATCCCCAGCGAAGGGAAATTGCATTGTGAACGCAACTCAGCAATGCAGAGCCCTAGAACAAAAGTTTACAGAGCTGCGTTGAAAGAAAAACCTAAGAGGGAAATGATTACCTGAAGAATCAAAGAAAGCAATCGGAAATTTGATATCATTTATTAAGACCAGCGAAACGCGTGGGCAAACTGAGTAAATAGGAAACTTTCTGAACATTGTTGTGGGTAGAAATTGCAATTTTTCGAAATCTTTCTCAATATTTTCAATTGGAATTGATGGGGTCGCCGTTTAGGATCGCTTACGGTTACTTTTCACTTTTATTTACTAATCCAAGCCTATGAAATGCTCGTGCTAGTGCGTTAGTTAATCGTTTAAATATGTCGAGTACAAATTATTTTATCGCCCGAGATATTTTACTAAGAGCGATTCTCGTCTAGTTCCATTTTTTCAATAAATTGATTTCTTTTGCGGTTTGGGCAACATGTACCAACCTACAATTGCCGAAATTACATTTCAGGGGTACATTTATTTATATAAAATGAATTCGGTTTTAAAGAGTGGAAGAAAGAAAGTGAAAGTCATTTCCAGTGGCCTGCTTAATATGTTGGATATGTAAAATGATTTCTCTAAATACGCCATTCTTGTGATATCAATGATTAACGAAAAGTAATGCGGGAAGGCATTAGGGGTAGCCGAGTAAGTAAGAATCGCGACTACCAAGTCAGTGTTTGCGGGTTTAAATCTCAAGTATGGTAGAATTTGCTTTGCTCATAGCTATAGCGAATGTATAACACTAGTTGGGAGCTACTACTACTACTTCTCTTTCCTGGCGTCTTTGTAAGGGGACATCCTCTTAGTGATTGATCAGATTGGAAATAAAAAAAAAAAAAAAAAAAAAAAATTTTCATCTAAAAATTTCAAAACATTATTAAAAGTTTTATGGACTTATCATCAAATACTTTCTCGTCGTGCCAGTTGATTAACTCTTCCGCTTCTTACTGAACAAAGCAAAATAAGACTTTGATGTATTTGAAATAATTGCTTGTAAACATACGATGTATGTATATATGCAAACAAACAAGTTAGAAATGAGTGAATTTATTATTTTCTATTTTATTTTATTTTATTATTTTTTTTTTAATAATTGATTTTAAATATAATTGATGCAATAATAGTTGGTTTTAATTATGAAATTCCTTCACTTCTCTTATTTCATTTCGTTCATTGTCAAATTAGAATTAACTAGAATTGCAATATTTATTTAAAAAATATTTTCTTTATAGAAATTTTCTTATTTTCATCACATTATATATTGTGCTATTGCGAGAATCAAAAAAAAAAAAAAATATATATATATATATAGTTAGATGCTTTAAAAAGCAATGCGATGGATGAGAAGCTTTTCATTCCCTTATTATGAAACGTTATTATTATTATTATTATTATTATTGATTTATTTACCTTTATAATGATTTTTTAAAATTTTTCATCATTTCGTAAACACTTTAAATTGAATTTTTATTTTTTTTTTATTTTTTCTTAGTTATGTAAAAAGAGAAGACATCCGCTGAACTTAGTTTGCGGCGCTTTGATAGAACTGTTAGAAGGTGTTAGACAGAAATTATTGCAAACTTATCTGCAAAGCAAAGAAGCTTTTCAAAAAAAGAGAAACAGAGGTTAGGGTTCGCGATTTAAGTTTTGCCAACTTTTCCGAACAGCAATGCATGCTTTGATAAACTTGACGAAAGAAATATTAATACGAATAAAAATGTTCGTTTTCGTACTAATGTAAAAGCGATAGAATAAAGAAAAAATTCTTCGTTATTAACTAACTTATGCTCTTCTAAATTTCCATGGCATATAAAGATTACGAATGCATATGTGTGGATGATAATGGATGGATGAATGAATGCATTCTTACAAGAAAATTATGCTTTTTATGCCAACAACAATGCCTTGATTACTCTCAAGAAAGTAAATGCCGTTATCTTAAGAGATCATATTAATTTTCCTGTCGTAATATAATATTCGATAGATATATTTTAGAGATGACTGATGGTCTCTCAAGAACTGATCCTTTTTTAACTGAAAAGTGAAAATTCTATACTTTAAATAATTTGACGCAATTAAAACAGCAACGGCAAATAGAATCTACTTGAAGCGAATTTTAGAAGGGGAAGAAAATTTCTGATATATCGCCGTCATCGATGATAAGAATAGAAATGTTGTCCGCTAAGAAGAAGAGGTAAGAAAATATCCCAGGGAAAATGATGATAACTCGTTCGCAGAAAAAAATATGCTCTTGAGGTATGTTGTCTCCTCGATGTTCGACTCGCATTAGGTTAGGTGCTTGCAAGAATTTATTCCAAGCAATTATTTTATGCCAAATTTTCTAAGTAAGAAAATCTTGCTTTTGAATTATTATTAATTAAACAATTGAATAGAACGCCTATGATAAGTACTGTGTCTCACTACAGCAATGCAAGGCTCTAATCAATCATTCGGGACAAACAAAGATTGCTTGATTTCTTTCCATTACCGATGCACCGAATGCATGGAGCAACACCATCATCATCATCATCATCATCACATTATTGTGCTCATCAATGCAAATATATGCTTGCGTAGCAAAGATAAATTTTTGCCATCTAGTTGCGTTTCTGCAGTAATGCATAAAACTTAAGCGATGAACACAATGATTGCATTGCGCATTGTGAATAGTGTATTATACACTAACTGTTACGTTTTATTGATTTGCGTATAGTTGAACATATAGGATGCATTGTATTCTTGCAGCGACATATTTATAAAAACAAAATCATATCGTGTGATTAATCTATCAAACGCCATGATTTTGAAATACCTCACATATAACTCACATAAATAAATCACATTTCAATTAAAATTGATATTAAAAATAATTATCTAATTAAAAAAGTAATTAAAATTATTTGCCAAAAAACAAAAAACAAAAAAAAATCACTTGCTAAACAAAATCTTATCATATGGTGAGCTTTCTAAATCATATGATCCTCAGCTGCAGTTCGTTCGATTACGCAATACGTTCTATTTACGCTAATTATGTTATACATATATATATATATATATATATATATATATATATATATATACATTTTAACTAGCGTCAAGTTTTGTATCCACCTAAGCATGTTCGTCTGTCCCTCTGTCCATCTACGTAATATCGATGATAGATATTCTTCCGTTCGCAAAAGTTTAGATAACGCCTATGGCAAAAACACTGGAAGTTCTTGCCCGTAGGCTGGTATTAAAAATGCACTAAATCGATCCATCTTCTGAGTTGTTTGCTAATCATTCATTAAATGGGGCAAAACACGCAAAAAAGCAAGTGCACAAGTTCTGGCACTTTTCCAACTTGCTGGCAGTTTGCCAATATCCAATTCATATCTAAGAAGTATAATTCCATAAATCCTGCAAATCATTCCACAATTGCGAAACAATTCCGGTCAAACAGTCAAACTCATGGAGGTCACGATCAACTAACATCTAACGAGATATTTAAAATCCAACTATCTAATTGGCGACAGGCAATATGGCTTTGGTCCAGTGGTGATCTACTAATTTTCTACCTCACTAAAAAGTGGAATCGAACTATTCGCCATTTTGGCGAACGTAAGGTCGTTGCCCTTGTTATCTTCAACGGTATTCCACAGAATATCGCAAAATGCTCTTGTGTCCGATACGAGTTATAATCCATTTAAACGCATGTGTACCACAAGGCTCTGCTCTTTCCTCTTCTCTCTTCCTAGTATTCATTAATGACTTCTTATCACGCACGTATAGCAGCCATCCCCGGAGTGATTGGTCACAGAAGAAAAAAGTGCTAAGGCTTTCTTATATTCTACATAAGTGAAGAAAAATCAGCCGCGTCCATCTAATATTATAGAGTACGCAAATTTCTTTTTTATTTTTTTATTAGAATAATGCGATAAATATAAGAGAATCGAGCTTAGTGAAATATACTTTTCGTACTTGTTGTAATGAATTTGCGTTGCCCTGTAAAAGCGTAGAGAAAGATTTTTAGCTTTTTAGCTTTTTAGCTTTTCAGCTTTTTGTTGTTATTGTTTTATTTGTGTTGTCTTTATTGCTGTTCTGAATGCTTTGTTTAAAAGCATATTGCGAAAGATTATACATTAAAGCGATCTTCTGAGCAACATCGCAGAGACGTTATAAAGTTACAAACCATTTTTTGTTTGCAATTTGCTTGGCTTAACAAACAGCCTTCTTTTATAACGTAATTGAGATTGGGATATGTACTATTGTGACTACTGTTCCTCCGGAAAACCAAAAATCATACAAAGTCACAAAGCTATAATAAAAAACGGGAAAGCATATGGTTTTCTCTTATGACTAGTGACGACCGGTCACAGTGGCAGAATATATCTCTAAATATGATCTAATCTATACCCAAAAATGTTCTAGGCTTTAGACTATCTCTTTCCATTTTTGTGTGGACTATTAGTTTTGTTCGGCCGAACTTATAACTCTGATAACGCAGAGACTTGGAAGACTTAGAAAATTCTTACAGAAATTTCAATTCATTCAAAATTATTTATTCTGTTCGAAATAATGTTTTGTGTGTATGTTATATTTGTCAAATATGAACGCAATATAGATATATTAATTTGAGGATCAGATGAGATCCATTTCATTATGTCTGCATGTCGACCCTCGGTCGTCGGTCTATTCAAATTATGAGTGTGACATCGAAACTTTTGACAGAAAGACCGAAAAATTTTTCAATATTTTTCTTATCGTTTAAAACCGGTTGCAGCGATGGCTAATTCATTTCTCCACGTTACTGCCTCAAATTTATAGAGCGTTCAGTTTAGCGCTTTAAATTTGGCATTGATATTTTACTTATTAAGTGGTTTACGAAAAACTTTGGCCTGCGACTTCTACAAGTATGGAAAATACCAGGGTACATAACAGTTGAATTGGATGATGTTGACCTTCCTCTATATATAGAATAACAGTTTTCCATGTTATCGATTTATTCAGTGTACGCCGACGCTAATCATTTTTGTGTTGTTATTTAATTTGAAGAAATCTGCTGCCGCAGCCCATCAAATATGTTCAGAAGCTGATGTTGACGCACCTCCATCATCTTTCAATTGTCAATTTGGGTTTCAGCGAATGACAAAAGACGGCCTTATTGCACGAAATTCCACCTATCAGTTCATGAATCAATTGTTTCTAGATTTTTATACATAGGACGGGAAAGGTCGAAAACGAGCAAAATAAGTTGCTACCACACAAATTGACTGAAAATGGCATTTTGGTAAGTCGTTGCAAGAGTTGACCATGGATACACTGTTGCAGCTCGAATGGACCCAGTCTACTCACTAGATAAGGCGTCTTCTGATTATCACTTATTCAGTTTGATGCAGTATGGTTTTACGTAGGTTCGCCTTGTTGATGAAGCGGGTACGCGGGTCGGTGGGTGGATCCTGGCTGCCAAACCTATATGAATTCTTTCGATCGATTTTTTTCGTTAAATGCCTTTTTGAAGGGAAAAAATAGCCAACTATTTTTGCTAACTCCTAATAATAAGCTATCGATGCCATAATCCGATTAAGAATTAATCAGGCGAAGCATGGATATAAAAAAGTTAATTTTGACCTATGATTTGTGCGATAGGACGATATGTTATCATTATCCCATTTCCAGTGTCCAGTGCTGCAGTTAAAAATAAGCAAACCAGTGTACGTTAGAAATTTTTTTTTCATTTTATTTCGCTTATTTATTTTTAAAACAAATTTTTTTTTTTTTTTATTATTGCCATTTTTGATTTGTTTTTTAGTATTGTCTCGGTCTTAATCCAATATGGCAGCCATTTACTGAACGTAATACTAAATTTAGTAAAGGACGCACTTCGGGACCCAGGGGTAATAATTCAAAGTGACGTAACATTTTACTTATTGTGCTTTTCATTTCCAAGAGAGCAAATTTTTGACCAATACAATTGCGTGGCCCGGCCGAGAAAGGAATATAGGCGTAAGGATAAATTTTATGTATATTTTCGGCCATAAAGCGTTCGGGTTTGAAAACATCTGGATCCTCGAAATAATTGGGATCACGTAGAATAATGAAAATTCCTAATGTGAAATTAGTATTCGCCGGTATACGTTTACCACCTGCAATCGTAAAAATTGAAACGTTAGCGAAACGTGAAGTTCGAGTTAGAAAGCGTTTCTAAAAAACCTTACGTATTTCCACATCTTCGTTGAAATAGCGACCTATCATCTGTACTGGAGGATATAGACGCATCGATTCCTTAATAACGCATTCCAAATATTTCAATTCACCTAAATCTCGAATTGTCACCGAACGATCTTTATCAACCCCGAACACCGAACGTATTTCATCGAAAAGTTTTTGCTGCACTTCGGGATGACGTGAAATCAAGCATAATGCAAACGAAATTGCACTCGTAGTGGTATCGTGACCTTCAAACATGAAAGTGTCAACCTCTTCGCGTATATCTTCATTACTTAATCCGACACCATTTTCGGTCGATTGCAAGAGAACATCCAGCAATGCCATGCGTTTCTTTTGTCCCAGTTCGTCGACTTGGTTGAGTGCTCCGTATGAGTCCTTTTTTAAATTTTCTTGTAAAGTTTTGCGTCTCTCCATAATAATTTTCTCAGTAAACTCATGCATCAACCGAATGCTTTCCATTAAACGTCTATAGTCGTGAGGAGCGAGTAAACGGAAAATCCAATTGACACGTAGCCACACCTTAACGAAACGTTTTGAAATGATATCGCTTGCGCTATAAAGATCCCATATATTTAGTAAAAAATAATGAAATCATTGCTTTATGTTTTCAACGAACCATTGAACTGCCTGCACATACGGAAATTGTGGATTTTGTTGAGCGTTGATTTTCACGCCCATTGCCGTTTCTGCAAATAAGAAATTAAACTTACTTAATCACCTCCATCATTATATAATCTAATTGGGCTTTTCTATTTACCGGCTATTATATCTAATGCTGCCAAGCATACCACTGGATACATATTAATTGGCGTTTTACCATCAGCTTTGGATAATAAATTTTTCACCATCACTCCGCTTTGTTGATCGAATACTTCAACGAAATCTTCCAATATTTTAAAATGAAACGCTGGCGTTATAATTTTCCTTCGGGAATGCCATTTTTTACCGTCGCTCATTAATAGACCCGTACCCAGCCAACCATACAATAAATCGTATAAATTATTTTTAGTTAAATATTCCGTTGAGTTTAACACTGCCTCATAGTCTTTCGGATCACACGAGAAAACTGCAAGTTGTCGCAGAACCCATACCCTATACAGGGGACCGTATTTTTTCCTGTTGCGTTGAATAAGTTTTGAAATTTCTATAAATAGAAAAAGTAAGAAAGTTATATTTGGGGGGGGGCCGAATCTCGCATACCCATTACTATTTTTTTTTTTTTTTTGAATTCTACTTTCCAAGTTCTTTTATTTGATACCCATATCGCTGGTATCATTAAGAAGAAATTGATCGCGATGTCTGTCATATTCGTTTTAGAATTAACTCAGTTTTAGGCAGAAAGAAGAGGAGGATTTTAGGCATTTGAGGTTAAGAAAAACGGAATTGAGTTCAGTTTATGCTCCAGTGCGGGCTTCTGCCCTGTCGATATCTTCATTTTTGCGAGCAGGAGAGTGCCAACTACAAACACCATAGAGATGGACGGACATGGCTTAATCAGAATTTCACAATATACTTTCTTGGATCTCTGAAGCTTGCTTTTGGGTGTTACATGCATCATAGAAAAAAAAAAGAAAATGCGTGTACCCCTATCTTACAGTGGTGGGTATAATGATATGGATATAATGGAAGAATGTTATTGGAGCGGAGTGAAGCGGGTCTTTGAAAATTTTCCCACTTACATTTTTAAGTAAAATGACCAGTGGAATGTGTGCGGATATTAATTTAAGTCGAGTTTTAAAGCTCTCCGTGGCTTAGAGAACTTAATTGTGCTCGTATGACCTTGACAGATCAATTTAACGAAGGTCAGCTAAAAGTGAGTAAGGGTTGATAAAATAAGATCGTGACGTGTTCTAACATGACATGCAGCAATCTTTTGGCATGAGTATGGCTCGCAGATATTTATTGCGTACCATCCAACGCTGAATCTCGAATCATTAAACGAAATATGCTGAAGAAACTAAAACGCTAAGCTTCAAAGAAATCTCACGAGTACGCTTTTGATACATTCGTATATCCTGCTTTCGTATACCCGTCTCCCCGCAATTATATTCTTTTTTTTTTTTAATTTATAAGATATCAAGATATATTAGGATAACAATCGTGATTTTAGAACATGTGCCGTGCGACTGCTTTTATTGTATTTATGCAACTGATTTATAACGAATCGCCGATAAGTTCACCAAGTTTACCTTTTCAGTTTATTTCCCCCTTTTCAGCGAGCAAGCATTTCCTAAAAAGCTGCCCTTTGCATGTAAATTATTTTTAGTTTTGTTCAATTCTAATCGAATTCATTTTACTCTTGCAATAAATGTCAATTTTTTTACCAATCGTCGCCATAAACCCAGGCGTTACAAACTCATAAAAATGTATGCACCGTGCAGTAAGAGAAAATTTCTATAAGACATGATTCTGATAGTCAAGGTCGACAAGTGTTTGAAGACTGTGTAGAGCTCGGATGCAATCTTGACATTGAATTATCAATCATTTTATTAAACATTCAATTTCAATAATATACATCTCTCACACCGGTTGTCCGGTTGTCCTGATAAAACAAAAGTAACATTTTTTTCATATTTTTAATTTTAATTACGTATGTGACTTTATACGGTATTCATTTACTGCATCAATTAAATTAATTATAGCTATTGCAGATGACAAAAAACTCTTCCACACTTTTGTTATACAAAGAAACAGGCGCTCGAGTCCGAACAAGCTCATTTTTACAAAATGTCTTTTCATCCATCGTTTTAGATCACCTGTAAAACCTCAGATCTTTGTGCAGGGAAACAAGTCTTGCTTTAAGAAAAGTGTCTTGTCATTCTAGCTTAAAGTTTCAGTTTTTTAGATCCTTCGAACTCTCTTCATAGTATACACCACTTATGAACAGGGTATATTAAGTTTGAGATGACGTATGTAATACGCAGAAGGAAGCGGGTTAGACATTATACGGATCGATTTAGAAGTACTTTCGATTGAATCGATTAAATTTCACTTAAAATCAGTTCCATAAAACATATAAAAACATGTAAGATCATTATAGTCGGGCAAGTCCGACTATCAGATATACAACCCTACTTCGCTTAACACAGTTACTCATTACTCATTCGTTTTGGTAATAATACACCAAAATTTACACATTATTTTCATGCAAAGGCATACTTTCCATGGAGGAACTCTTATATGCGGGGATATCCAAAAAATAGACATACATGGTCCAAATTCGGTAAGGTTGATTTCTATTTCAATTAACTGTTATGGACTAATTTCAGCCATGAAATATTAAAAATTATTGCTTTTTACCATATAAAGATTTAGTTTACGTACGAGCGGCTATATGAGAGAGGATACCAATTTAGAATGTCCAAACGTTTTTACAGATCGAGTTTCGTCGAGAAATTATGAAAATTTGCAATTTCTTTCGATATGACGACTTTTCCAAATAGGGCTTTTATATGGGTAGAGGTCGGAAAAGTGGACCGATTCAAGCTAAGAAAACAAGTCAATGTCTCATAAGTTGTGATTTGTAGCTTAACTACAAATTTACATGGAAAGATATTACACGGGCAGAGGGACAGACAGACATAGATCGATGTAGAAGATTATTCTGAATATGAATTTCATCAGTATAATTAAAGGTGGGTCTATTTTAAGCCCTTCTATGTGTTACATAGATAGCCTCTACCTTAAGCGGTATCAAGTTTGAACCATGTAGCTCTATTTTTTGGATACTAATATGCGAACTTTCCTGAAATATATCGATATATAATGTTTAAGTTTGGTGTATTATTACTAAAACGAGTGAATAATTGTGTTAGACGAAGTGCTGATATAGGATATCTAATAGTCGGACTTGCCCGACTATAATGTTTTTAGTTAATTTTATCGTATTACAGTGATTTCCTCCGTTAATAATGCGTTCACAAATGTAAACGCTATAGCGTTCGCTCTCATTGTAATGTGAAATGACACGAAAGCCTTAGTAATATAGACTTTGAAATCGATTAATTATATAAATTTAATCTTTTGTAATTATTATGCACAAATTCATTGATTCATTGAATGAATCTAAAATTAACTAAATCGAGTTGAGAATTTTATCCCAAATAAGGATATGTAAAAATGTTATGTTCCTAGTTTCGGTAGTAGGAAAAAATATGAATTTTTATACGTAGGATACGATATATGATTAACGTAACGAGTGAGTGTGTATATGCATAATCAATTATCAACCAACCAATTAAATATCCTAAACAAATTGATGATGGGTATTAAAATGTTCAAAGCAAACCACTACATATCTATATAGATTGTATATATGTTTAAATAATAAATGATTCGAAGCTTAAGGTTAAATTCTATATATTTAGAAGAAGGGTTAGGTAACAACAAGTGTTATTAATTGTTAGATGAAATTATGCGCGTTATTATAGATTAATTTCATGAAAATAAAAATCGTTTACATTACCTTCTTGAGTTTGCCCGCGATACATAAGCGCATTACCGACAAATGGCAAAGCTCTTGGTCCGGGCATATAATGCAACATATCATTACGTCGCTTTACTGATAAATAATCCCAGAGCAAGAGGGCGCTAATAAAAATTATAAAAATTGCTAAGAACATTCTTCACTTTTTTTTTTTTTTTTTGCTTTTTTTATTTCCGTAATTCTTGAACTCGATCTTAAGTAACCACACAATATGGCTGAGTGTTTCGGAATAACTAAGAGTTTTTCTTCTATAATCATTTAATTTAAATGATAACCATAAACTTTTTAATATATTTTTTTATTCATTTTTTTTTTTTTTTTTTGCATTGATCAGGAAAGTTTAGAATGCACTCAAATATAGTACTCGTAATAAATATTAAGAGATTTTTAATGATAGTTTCGAGATTGGTTAGAGAGAAAGAAATTTGAAAAGAGTTGCAAATAAGTGATATCAACAATAGCTACATATGGTAGATTAGAAATTTTATTAACTAATTGCAACTGCAATAAATAGATAGCCAAACAAGTTGGACTACTTGAAACTGCATATACTTTAAATGCGGCAAACGTTTAGCAAATCCGTTAGAACTTATTTAAAAAAATGTTTTAACAGATCAGATCAGATATGTAAAATTAGCGATTGTGAATGACGAAGCAGTTTCAATATAATATTTTATTGTCAAATGGTGTCGTATGTGTCGAAAAATATAAAACGAAGCGGGACAACTTGTTTCAAAAAAAAAAAAAAAAAAAAAAAAAAAGTGCTAAAATTGCATTATCTTGAAAAGAATCTTTCACACTCATTATCTGAAAGCATTATTATAAGTATACCCTGGCAGTTGAAGATTAGATCAACTAGACGATCGGAAACATTTTCCGCTTGTCTTGGGAAGTTTTGCGCAACGGTTCCGTAATGCTATTAATGTTCTCCTTCAAAGTTAACCTTTGGCCAAATCTTAGCTTTCCATCTTAATTTTTCCCCATCTGAGGCGAGTGGACCGGGAAGATTAGTCGATTTGTCGAAAGTATATGCCGTTCATGTAGCACTTGTTTACTAGAATACTTTTCTTTTTATCCTATCCTTTAATCATGGATATACTGGTGAGGAAATTTAAAAAAATTCGGTTTAAGAAGATAAAGACTAGTAGGGTAGTACTTGATTTGTGTACCAAATGGTTGTAAGTCTTTTCGTAATGCAAACGTAGTCAAATGTAGAATTGACTTCTCTGATATTCATTTAAAGATCTGCGAATTTATAATATTTGCAAACTAAACCTCCAAAGGTTGAATTGAATTGAACTATATACGAAAGCAGACGAGAAGGAAAATTTAAGCGCAATCATCTTTGCACACATTTCCTTTAAGATCAACCTTTACAAAGGTTGTTTTCGTTTTATTATACCAGCATTGACGCATCCGATAACAAAGTTTTGTCTTGTTTTTTTTTTTTCTCAAGTCGCTGGGTGGATATCACTATTTTTCAAAACGTATTTCTCTTCTGGGATGTGTAGGTTTGTTTTCTTTTTGTAATTACTGAGCAGAGAAAGAGCGAGAGAGAGAGCGAGTGGTGCCTGTTTTACTTGTGCAGCTTCCTTACTTATAATAATTTATTTACCCAAATGGAACGGTGGGGATAGAGATAGAAATTGGATACAAAAACATGCGTCTCTTACTACGTCTTGTGCTTATGATGCACTCCTCTCAATGCTTGCACTCTTTGAATGCATTTAAAATGCGATCGTCGAGATTTTTTTCTTTTTTTTTTTTACTTTATCATGCTTGGCCAAGGTTGGCTTATATATTTTAATGATAATGACAGTAACTGTGACTTGCAAAAAAGTTGAATTAATAAACGAAAGAGAAATTTCTAATTTTGTTTTCTTAAACTTAGTATACTTAGAATAGACAACTAATCTTGAGACTCAGATTTCTTAAATTGTGTTCATATTTGCAAGGTTCGCTTTGTTGTTAAAATAGTTAACGCATTTTTTACTTTTTTTATAGCGTATACCACTTGTGGTACAGTAGGTGTGCTAAGAGCTTAAGAGAGAACCACCTTCTATAATATCGATCGATCTAAGACTGTCTGTCCGTCCGATGTCTGTCCATGCATTTTTGTGTCCAAGCTGCAGGCCACAATTTTTGAGATATTTCGATGAAATTTGGTACAGTGACGTGTTTTGATCCAAGAACAACCGCTATTGAAAATGGTTCGGATTGGTCGAATTGTAACGCCCTATTCTAAATTGTTGTTATATGGCAAAAAAATTGCAATTTTCAAAATTTCCCGGCAAAAGTGACTAAGTAGTAGTATTCCGGTATTCCAAATTGATGGTGCAATTTTTTGAACCCATTCTCATATAACCCCTCCTACGGATATGGATGCTTTATATGGTGGAAAAGATCGAATATTCAATATTTCATTCTGAAAATTAGCTCATAATGGTAAATTGACAAAGAATTTGACCCACGTAGATCTAGTTATTAAACATTATCGCATATAAGGATACCCATGTAACGTTAACTCTTAGCCAAGAAAGCCTAATTGTTAATTCATTTTTTGTGATGAAAATTTGCCCGTGATAGTAATTAAATAAAACATGGATCTATATCTTCGCCCTATTCCATATAAGATATCTCATGAGTAGCAAATACTTCGAAAGAAGGCTTAAATTTTAATAATTTATGATGAAAATTAATACAGAAGGAGCGTTTCAGCAAAAAAAAAAATTGACGATACGGAGTTTGGATCACTTAGATCTTGGCATTATCACGAAAAGTAAACGCTTCTACGGAGAGAAAGTCTACTCTTCCCATATGCGGGCTTTCATAAAAATTAGTTTTTGGAATATTATTACTAAACGAACGAGCGAACAACGAGCGTACTAAGCGAGGTCGCTTAGCGTATGTAATAGTCGACGTTTCCCGTCTATAATGTTCTTACTTGTTTCTCTTATTATTATATAAGAGTATGATCAGACATTTCTAGTCATTTCGGATTTCATAGGTCATCACTTGGTTATTTTTTAAGTCTAGATAAGAAAATTTTGTAATTTGGAAATTTTAAGATTGCGCGGCCAGTGTAAGACATCTTTATACATGAATTAAGAGTATCACTGCACTAGGCACTTATAGAAGTATATCAGATAAGTGAAAAAGGCAAAAAACAAAAAAAAAAAAAAAAATATATATATATATATATATATATATGAAGCAATTCTGAATGGACTCAGTATTTTGTCACATTTTAAAAGCACTCACACAACAACTGCTAAATAAGATAATAATTGAATTTTGTTTAAGAAAATCTTCACTTTAGGTAAATTCTTTGATGCGAATTTTTGGATGTTTCAAGGTTGAATTTTTTTTTTTGGAAAAAGTAGACAAAAGAAAATATCATAAAAAAAAATGATGCAATCATCAATAGAAATATGCAAAGTATGCACGTTTTTATTCCTTTCAGTTACAATCAGTACAACTAACTTTTGCTTTTCTCACTTATCAGGTTTTACCAGTTAATCGATCTAAGGAACGCAAACTTGTTACGCATAACGTGTTTCTTATAATATCACCATAAATGCATCATTTATTGGTTCAGTTCATTCATATCTTTGTGGTATAGTGCTGATCATAATCTGAATATGAAGCGCTACTAGATAAAACTGTTGATCGCCTCTGCTTAGTATAATTTTGCAATATTTTAAGTTAATATCTCTTTTATTATAATGTGTTTTCCTTGCTACTCAAGCAAATTTATATCAGCTATTGTGTTATCAGTGTGCATGCATCTTGAGAATATTTTTAAAAGATAACTTAAATTTAGTATATAAAGTATAATTGTAATATTAACATGTTCGGATTATTAATATTGAGTTTGTTTGCTGCCCTCATCATTTGGGATTATATTTATAAAAAAAAAAGGGATAATATTTTAAGGCAATCAAATGTATCCGGACCTAAAACATTTCCAATCATTGGCAATGCTTTAGAAATGCGTAACGTAACCACGGAAAGTAAGTAAACTTATAATGATAATAAAATTATTTTAAGGTCAAACTCATTTTATCTGATCCTTTTATAGATGTATTCGAATGTTCGTTAGAGAGAAAACGAAAATACGGTAAAATTCATCGCTTATGGAGTTTAAATCAATTAAGTATCATCGTAATGGATGTTAATTATATTGAGGGCATTTTAACAAGTCAACAAATTATTAAAAAAAGTAGCTTTTACGATATTTTAGTCGATTGGTTGGGTCGTGGACTAGTTACTAGTACAGGCAAAAAATGGCATACTCGTCGTCGAATAATTACGCCAACATTTCATTTCAAAATATTGGAACAATTTATTGAAATATTTGATCAGCAATCGACTGTGCTGGTTAAAAATATGTTTAGTAAGGCTGACGGTAAAACTCCTATCAATATTTACCCGGAGGTCAGTTTAGCTGCTCTAGATATAATAACAGGTAATTGAACGATTCGTATCGTATTTGCTTTTCAGTCTTATCTAAATTATATAGACGAAGTAAAAAAAAAATTTACTTTTTAAGATAAACGCTTTTTTATTGCGATTTATTTTTGCCACAAATCAGATGCAAGTGATACAACTTTTTACATATTATTATCGTAGACGTTACGTTTATCATAGTATTCCTGTTAGCTTTTTTTTTTTTTTTTTTTTTTTTTGTCGAATTCTCTAATCATATTTCCATTGTGGCCGTGTAACTTAGGCATTGTAAGCCCTTCTTATCGGTGTAAGAGTGTGGTCGTCTCTAGACACGATGGGTTGTTATTTAACATGACCCATCTGCAAGTATGCGTATGTAATGCGAAAAATTACAGTTTACAATTCGTAGATTATTCCGGTCTGAAGCTCTGCGCATATGGTAATAACGATCATCTAAGGGTGTAGTGTCCAAAGTGCAACATCGAAACTATATGGAATGTAAATTTAAATCTTAATATAGTTACTTCCTATGGCCAATTGCAAGGTCATTACGCAGCTACATGACTCGACCTCATTACACGAAATCATTTTTCACGATTGTAGCGTGTATCAGTTGCTGTTGGTAGGCTAAAAAAAATTCGCTTTGAAGCGAATAATGCTTCTTGCTCCATTACTTGGTTTTCACATCACCGCTTCACTTACTTCCAGAAACGGCTATGGGTGTTAAAGTTAACGCTCAAGAAAATCCCAATATTGAATATGTTAGAGCATTGGCCCAGTAAGTTCATATATTTTGCATAAGCGATTCTTGACGGATTGATTAATAATAAAAATTCCAGTGTTTGCCAAATAATTGGCAAACGTTTTATTACACCAACCCAACGCTTGGATTGGCTATTTCGTTTAACTGCTCGGAGCGATTATCTCAAACTGCACGATAATATAAAAATTTTGCATAAATTTACTGATGAAGTGATACAAAAACGACGCGACGCTTTGGAGAAAGCCTTACGAGACGGAACGTATGAAAGTGAGTTAATTTTAGGATAAGCAAATTATTTATTCATTTTTTTGATTTGTTGTTGTTTATTGTTGTTACGTGAAATGCCATATAGAAAATGCAACGGTGGAAGATGTGGCTACTAAAAAACGCTTGGCTTTATTAGATGTTTTATTATTGTCCTCCGTTAATGGAAGCCCTTTAAGTAACGAAGACATACGCGAAGAAGTTGTGACATTTATGTTTGCCGGTCATGATACAACTACTAGCGCTATGTCGTTTATTTTATATTTAATTTCTCGATATCCCTTAGTACAGAAGAAACTAGTTGCCGAAATCCAAAATATATTAAATAATGATAATAATAAATCACTTACTTATAATAATCTGCAAGAGCTGAAATACATGGAATGCGTTATAAAGGAGGCATTGCGTTTATATCCACCCGTAGCCTCTATAGGACGACAAGTTACCGAAGATGTTCTTATAGGTAAATATATTTTTTTCAAATATATAATTAGATTAGATTCGAGACAAATATGAATTAAATATTTTCCGTTTTAATCAGACGATTTAAATATACCAGCTGGCGCTAACGTAAGTGTACCATTTTATTTGGTTTTGCGCGATCCGGATTATTATGATGAGCCCGATATATTCAAACCAGAACGTTTCGATACACCTATTAGCCAACCACTCAATCCATTCGCTTTTACGCCCTTCTCGGCTGGACCGCGCAATTGTATTGGTAAGAAATTTGCTATGCTGGAAATGAAAAGCACTATTTCGAAAGTGTTGCGGCACTTTGAATTGCTTCCGTTGGGACCTGAGGTGCGGACCGCCTCGCACATTATTACGCTTTCAGTGACCGGAGTACATTTAGGACTTAAGCCTAGAAAATGGTAACTGAACTGCTCCACTTTATCGAAATATAATTTTCATCATTTGCATCTTTTACTAATTGTGTTATGGCCAAACGAAAATGTAATAAAAATAATATTCTACAGTTAAGATTTATATATTTAAACTTGTATTTAATAGCTTTAGACAAATTGTAAGTAAAGTTGTTCTAAATTGATTTCACTAAACTCGAGTTCCTTTCATGATTTGATGCACTGGGGGTGTCGAACAATAATTTATACCCCACCACGCTAGGATAGGGGTATACTCGTTTTGTGTTTTTTTGTCCCATAATATATATAATACTCGAGAGGAAGCTCCAGCGAACTAATTTTGATCGTGAGTGTGAAACTCTGATTAAGCCATGTCCGTCCGTTTGGTCGGTGTTTGTTGTTGGCACTCTTCTTATCGTAAAAATGACGCTATCGATTTCAAATTTGATAGAAATATTGAAAATCGTTACAAGCAGGTTAGTATTGAAAATGGACCAAACTGGTCGGAGTAGAAGCGCGCAAGAGATGCGAAAAACGTAGTAGTGGTGAGTATGCGAGATTCGGCTCCTGCCGTATATAACAAATGTCAGCGTGTGAACGTCAATAGACATCTGAGGTAACAGTTTCATTCGACTTTATCAACTCGTAATACACTACATTTTACTGAACCCACCATATGCACAGCAAAGCTTTATTTCCATGAATATTCCACTTCGGTATCGAGGTAGGCGATCCTTCTGGATTAACCCATGACTTTTTGCGCTTAGGTTTGCCGTAGTGGATCCACTCTTCATCGTAGAAAACTTATTGAAACGGTTTGAAGGGGAAATTTTCAGTCAATTTGTATGATGGCCATTTTCCTTCCTTTGAAAGCCTTCCCGGCCCATAAAAACGTCTAGGAACATTCATCAATTGCTCAGCTGCTTAAAAGTTCTTTGAGAATGTAAGCTGGGTTCTGTTATTCATTTTATTCGAATTTTTTTGATCCTCCAGGTGGCTCTTTGTTATTGACAACGAAATCACCACTTTTAAGCCGTTGAAACTAAAGCCGATAATTGGGATATGATCGACCAGCATCCTCATAACCTTTTAAAAGTGTTTGATGGGCTCTGGTAGCGTTAGAGCGTTAGATAATTAGTGTTTGTGTTCGATCAGTAGCTCAATGACACTAAATGGATGTGTATAGAGAAAGTTGAAAATCATCGAAATTAATCATTATGTACATTGATTGATATTTCGCCTTACTTTATCATTTGCATCAATAGATGTCGTTGATCAAAATACATGCAAGTACTTATTTATTTATTTATTTATTTATTCCACTTATACAAGAAACTCAACTAAAAATTTTGACAGTCGAGTTCAATTGACTCTTAAAGTAAATCGTAGATTAATTAATATTAAAACGTAGTATAAGTATAATTAAACAAATAAGAAGGAAAAAATAGAAAAATGCATATATACAACTGGCATAGAGCCACATCGGCAACCGGTACAGGACCAAATTGCGAATGAACCCCTAAGCCATCGTAAACATGCATAAGCTTGGCAACCGGTAATAGTTAATAACAACAATTCATTTTCGACTCATCGCGACATTTTAAGGTTAAGAGCTAGTTTAAGTACGACATAGGTAAATTACGCGCATTAAGCAATGTTTCTTTAATGGACAAAATTTCTAAAGCAAAAAATTTCTTTGACCCGTAACGTAACGTAAATATGTGATAAAGCGAGTATTCGCAAACCGCTAAGAACCGCAAGCAATTTTTATTAGAAGCTTGGTGATTTCCCTTTTAAAATTATTCACTTAACCGTATATTGGGCCAAGAAGAAAGCGGAACAAGTACAACACAAGCGATTTACAAGCGATTTATTCATAAAAAATTTCCTTGTTTTATAATTTTGTATATCGCGGACGTCGACTTAAGCCTACGTTGATGCCTGTCGTTGAGCGCAGGATCAAACTCATTACGGGAACAGCGTCAGGACCCAAAGGCAAGAGTTTGTAGTTTCGCAAAACTTTCCCAATAATCATTTTCATTTCAAGCATCGCATATTTTTGTCCAATACAATTACGTGAGCCCGCACTAAAAGGCACAAAAGCGAATGGATGGATCTTATTTTTGGCCTCTGCTACGAATCGTTCGGGTAAAAATGCTTCAGGATTTGGAAAATATTGAGGATCATGACTGATATTATATAAGGAGATCATAATTTGCGTATCCGCTGGTATGATTGCATTGCCTGCAATGTCAAAGATGCGAAAATGTTTAAATATTAGTTAAGAGAGATACTCAAATGAGTATCTCTGGTATAAGTATGAAAACTTACCAATTTTGGTTTCTTCGTCTATAACGCGCCCAATGAAGGGTACTGGCGTATATAAGCGTAGAGCTTCCTTAATAACACATTCCAAGTATTTTAAATCTTGCAAATCTTTTGTCGTAATCGGTCCATTTTCAGATTTATTCAATACTTGTTGAACTTCTTCGTAGGCTTTTTCTTGAACGCTGGGATGACGAGAAAGCAAATACAAGGTGTGCGCTATGCCACTAGCGGTGGTATCATGTCCTTCAAACATGAAAGTATCTACCTCTTCTCGTATATCGTCATTAGTTAACGGCTTACCATCAATTGTCGATTGCAATAGAAGATCGAGAAAAGCTACACGATTTCGTATTCCCAGTTGATTAGTTTCGGTATCTGACCAAAGTGATTTTAAAATATTAGTTATTTATAAATTTTAACTTCATTAATGTACCAAAAGTGTTGTGAGAGCTATCTTTGAAGGATTGTTTTAAGCTTTCTCGCCTATCTTTGATGATTTGATCTGTAAACTTGTGCATAGTATTGATATGGCTTCTCAAACGCATTGCATCAAAAGGACGGGCTAAATAAAATATACTATCATAAAAATAAAAAGGTTGTGTGCCCCGTGCACCTAAAATATTAGCTGCGCTAGAAAATTTGATTTGTTAATAAAAAATACGTGAGATCGAAACTTTTGCATATTTACCCAGTCAGAGCTTTCGTGTATGGGAAGTCCGGATTTGTATGAGCTTGAATTTTGACACCCATAGCCGTTTCCGTTATAATGTTTAACGTAGTTAAACATACCTCAGAGAACATTTCAATCACCGTTCGACCATCGGCTTTGGCTTGCAAGCTATCAACGAAAATCTCACTTTGTTGATCAAATATCTCTATAAACTTTTCCAACATTCCGAAATGAAATGCGGGCGTAATAATTTTTCGTCTAGCATGCCATTTCGGACCCGTACTCATTAGTAAGCCGTCACTTAGCCATTTACGGAGTATACGATAACCAAAACTTTTTGTTATCAGACGACTGCTGCTTAAAATGATCTCCAAGTATTCAGCATCTTGGACGATTAATACTAGCTTATTAAATATGAAGAAATGACAAACTCTTCCGTAATTAATACGGAAAGTGTCAAATAAAGTAAAAATTTCTGAAAATAGTAAATAAAAAAATAAAATAAAAAAAATTCCAAAAAACTTTATGGTCGGGCGACGCCGACTATTAAATACCCTACACCATTTCGCCTGATAATAATACTCCATAAACTACATATTATTTTCATGCAAAGCATGCAATTGTTTATGAAAACTCGCATATTGGGAGTTTAGGCTTTGTTTTTATCTAAGGGTTTGCGCATCGTGATAGCGCCCATATAAGTGGAGGATAGACTTATGTGAGCCCAATTCGCCACCGTTAACGCTCCTAAGATTTAGTTTTCATCATAAAATATTAAAAATTAAGCCTCTTTGCGAAGGGCTTATTATTCATGAGATATGTTGTACGAAGTCGGGTCGGAGCGGCTTTATTAAAATGGCCAAAAATACTGTTACAGGGTGAGTTTCGTCGAGAAATTATGAAAATTACAATTTTTTCCCATATCAAGACTTCTCAGAATAGAGCGTTATCTGCGAAGTGATCGAAAAAGTAGACCGATCCAAGCCATTCTCAATAGTTCTTGGATCTTTCGATTGTTCTTGGATCAAAACACGTTACTGTACCAAATTTCATCAAAATATCTCCAAAATTTTGACCTGAAGCTTGAAAACAAAAATACTTAGATAAACAACAGGCAAACGGACAGATAGAGAGGTTTAGATCGATTTAGAGAATGATTCTGAATCGATCGGTAGAATGAAAGATGAAAGGCCCTTCTGAATGTTGCATACGTGCGCACTAACATAACCTGTATCACAAGTGGTGTAGGGTATAAAAAGATTATGATTACACTTCAATTTTGTAGTATCGCGTAGTTTGCTAAGAAAGCCCTTCACAGCAAGCGTGTCGTGCATCTAAATACGTTTTGCTTAAGACATGCGATTGAATTTATTTCAAGATTTTTTACGCGTCAGAGACTTTTAATGCCGATTAATAGAAATAGGAAGCTTGAAAAGCTTTTAACGGCGATTAATTGGAATTAATTAAGATGAAGCCAATTACATAAATTAAATGCGTTGTTATGATAAACGTATTTAAATAATTAGAATTACTCGTTATATCACTGCCGATCCATGGCAAGACATCACCGAACAACGGCAAAGATAGCTTACATCCTGCTACACCGCGTTCGCTTAAATATATTTTAGTGTAATATTTATGAATGCAATCCCATATCAGTAAGCTTAGTGACAGGCAGATTATTGTTGTCCAGAACATTTTCAAAAAAACAAATTTCTTAAATAATTTGCGAGTCTACTACGGGACACGAATTAACACTAAAGCTGCTTTTAAATTCTGTGATATATAAATAAGTTGAAAATTGATAGCGAGAGGCGAATCATTTTTCTCCTATCATCTGTCATGCATCTTGCTATACTTACAGTTTAATAAATATGAGTATTGCGCGTCTGTGGTTTGCGGTCTTGCATGCTATACTTTGATACGGTATAGGAAAGAATGTATGTGCATTGGATTAGTTATTTTGCTTGCAACATCCAACAAAGATCACGTAAAGTACATCTATCTCTTAATCAGTATGAAATTCTGAACCTATTTATTCGTGTCCATCGATCTTTTTTTACTTGAACAAAAATTTAGTGACAACTCAGCTAACATCCATTACAATATTTTCAAATTAGCATAGCTAGCTATTCGATTGCGTTGTTGAACGTTAAAGATTCATCGTAACGCGAATAAAACATTGTTGCTTACTCTTATTATGCTATGTATGATGTATATTCGTGCTCTCTGTAAGAGCGAAATTCGATTTTCTTATGTCCGTCGGAGATCATAGAAATAAAATATTCAAAAGCTAATTTCTCTCTTTCTTCCTGAAATGATTAAAAAGTTGGCAAAATGTTAAACGGTTCAAACATCTGACTTTTGCAACATAATTGCTTATATGTTTTGGGCAAATTGTATCTTCCAAAGATAGCACGTAGAGTGTTGAATATTCGTTTTCGCCAGAAGTGTGCTCTACTATAGAGAGAGATTACAGTTAATTATTGGTAAACGCCAATTTAAGTTGGCTAAGTTGAATTGGGAGATACATTTCGCTGCTTCAATTCAATTATTAGAACTAGGAATACAACCAAACATTTTACCTGAAGGAATGAATATAAACCGTTTATTTTTTTGAGGCGATCGGTTCCAGAGGAAATTCCTTAAGGTGTAAAATAAGAATTGCTATCGAATTGATTCAATTGAGTCAACATAACATAGGAGATAGGATAGAAAGCATAATTCAGAAGCATATTCTAACATAGATGTAACGAAAATCATGTCCAGTCATTTCGTAAGAACCAGCGTTTAATAATATTGCTGCATATAAATTTTGCTTTATTTATGGAGAAATTAACATCAAGCTTCTTTTTTTCTATAAAACTAACGGTATGGATGATTCGAACATGCACGTTCTCAATAAGAAGTAAATCATTTTTATTGCTTTCATGAAAAGCATAGTAAATGCGTCTTATTCACGAGTAACGAGAGAGAAATCACATAAACAAATTTTATAACAAACGTACAGGTTTTGTGCAGGGTTGCATTTTAAATAAAATAATCAAATACATAATCTAAATCTATGGCTGCGTTGCATAACTTTCGTTAGGTTAGATTTTGAATATTTCAAGCATTTCTTTCGGTGTCGAAAATTTTTGTTCACACAGTCTACTCTTCATGTGAAATTTGGTGACTGAGGTGACTCATGCAGAATTGAAGCATCTATGATCCACTATGAGCAATTGTCTTGACATTTGTACTTTATTGGAAATATATAAACGATTATTTATTTCGGGGTATTTCGATAGCGGGCTGTTGTGGTTGGGTTAGTTGCGCCACTGTTCGAACACCGTTATATTCAACAATTATTCATCGTTCGAGATTTCAGATAGTTTTGCATAAATCCATTCATTCTTCATCTATCACGATCCTTTAGGTATTCTCTTCATGACTCGTTTACGTAAATTGTTTTATAAAGACTTACTACGTGACCGTATATTTCGGCAATGCTAGGTTCTTATTTATTACATATTCTACATAGCGAATAATTCCTCTCTCAACTACTCTCTTGTAATATAACTAAGATCTTTGCACGCTTTAACGCTAGGTTATAACTGATTGCCTAAACATGATTAGGAATGGTCGAGTATATGCAACACTTATGGTATTACACCATCATGTACTTGGTACAGTTTTATTTATATTAATAACAAAATCGAAACCCTGAGAGGTAGTGAAATGAACTTTACATTCGAGCTCGGTTTAATTGGACGGGTATCTGTAATTGAAATAATTTTTAATTAACTTTGCATGTCGCATAATAAACGTCAATATTATAAAATGATTAGTTAATTCCTTAAAGCAATCACGGCAAGTACGGGTTTATTTTAAATAAATAAAAAAAGACGCCATAGGAGTAATTAAAAACTAAGATTAAAGGCAGACATTACTTAACTGAACGGAAATTGAATTACGGCATTTCTTGACTCAATGTTCTACAAGAGATAATTGGCGCAAATGCTTATCTATGGTAATTTCTTCGAACAATTTCCTAATTATTGCGGATTATACAACATCGCTTAAATAGATTAAACCAGTTCTACACATATTTAAAGCATTTGAGTGTTATTCAACTATCTATACTTTTGATTTTTAACCAAATGACGTCATGCATTTTGTGTTATTTCTAATAATAAATGCTTGCATGCATTCTTATCATTTTTTCATTTAAAAATAAACAAAAACATATATTGAGAAAAGTTGGTACACTATATATGCTACTTACTAATACTAATTTTCCATAATTTTCGACAACGTTTTCCCATCTTTCTGGCAGCATGGCGACACCGTGTCGAAAGAATGAAAGACCGGATTCGGCAGCGATCCAATCATTCACCCAATTTCGCACTTCTTCAGCATTTCGAAATCTCGTGCCATTCAAACGATTTTGCATCGATCTGAGTAAGTGGTAAACAGAAGGCGCTATATCTGGTGAGTACGCTCGACGCGGCAGACCTTGCCATTCGATCTGCAACCTGTGTGCCCGTGACAGCTCTTGCAAAGTGTGAGCGAGTGTTGTCATTCAAGCTGGTCTATTGCTGGTCTTTTCTGCAACAATACATCGTTCAATTTGTTCAAATGATGTCGGTGGACAGCTGTAGTAATGGTTTCATTCGATTTTATCAGCTCGTAATACTACTACATTTTCCTGATCCCATCATATGCACAGTAAAGCTTTATCTGCTTGAATATTTTACTTCGGTGTCGATGTATGACTTTTTGCGCTTAGGTTTGTCGTAGTAGATCCACTCTTCATCGCAGAAAACTTATCTTTATTTGCCTGGTAAGCAATGAAACCGCGATGTTGAAACGGTTTGAAGGGGAAATTTTCAGTCAATTCGTATGATGACCATTTTCCCTCCTTTGAAAGCCTTCCCAGTCCATGTAAACGTCTGGAAACAGCTGATTCATCAACTGCTAAGCTGCGCGAAAGTTCTTTGAGAGTTCTTTTAGCTGGTTTTTCGTTCAATAAGTCTTGCAGTTGATGTCTTCAAACTTTTTTGGTGGCTCCATGCCATTCGTTGCCATTGATATCAACGTCGCCGCTTTTAAACCGTTGAAACCAAAAGAGACAATTGGGAAATCTTGCAGAAGTGTCACCCTAAGCTTCTTAAAGTTTTTGATGGGTTCCGGTAGCAGGTTGCCTTTACACTTAGGTAAACAACAAAAGCAATCAATACCGAAAATGTAATCTTAAGCGTTTCATGATTAGTGTCTATATACACTGAATACCTCAATAATGCTAAATGGAAAACTATTGGTTTATGTATAAAAAGGTCAAAATTATCGAATTTATGTGTCCGCCTTACTTTATTATTTTCACCAATAGATGGCGCTAATCAATACAAGTAGTGTCTAGGCCGGTAACAAATCGAAAATCCCGCTTAGACTTCTCTTTAAAATATCATTGTCAAAAAGTGCGAAAGAAGAGCATAAAAACTGTTGGAGTTGTGGACCGTTTCGAACATGTTTCCAGAGAAACGCGCTTAAGATTTTAAAATTTGTTGTAGACATGTTCTTCTTAATTATAATTTTTACCATTACTCGGCAGCCTTTAGCAACATAAAATTGCCATTCCGTGATCGAATATACTTACCTATTACCAAGTGAAAGTGGCTCCCCGCCTCACATATACCCAGCCATATGTATTATGAGTTGTAAAAGGGTTGAATTGTATACAAAAGAAATATCCTCTGTCGTAAGCAATACGTTACCTGCTTTATTGCTCGAGCTTGATCGAAAATGAATGCGATACAATGTTCAAAGCTTAAAAGAATCATAATGAAGACCAGGCGAACCAGGTTAACACACGATAAAGCGAAGTATTTGAAATATCACAGTAGTATTAATTGATGAATTGATTCAACTGAAAAAAAGTAAATCCAGGCCATGGCGAACTATCCACAATATTCGTTGCGTCCTCTTTCAAAGTATTGCCAGTCAATTTTACTTTGCAAAGTTCGCTCGGAGAACTTTAAAGCTATTAAATTAGGATAGGCATGCCGCCTAACCTCTCTTCATCAGACATGGCTTCTTTTGATTAATAATTGATTCAAGCGACAAGTCGAGATCGTAATATGAACAGTCTTTCTATTCTTATGACGAAATAAAAAAATTAATGAAAATGTTTCCCGAGCGAATAGCTTTAAATAAAAAGAATCAGTGAATTAACTACTAATGCCAATATCTTGTACAAGTCATTGAGTCAAACTTTTTTAAGTGAAAATTTTTTGCTAAAAATGAAAATTAATTAACTCATACATTTACTGAAACTATTCAAAAGATTCTTTTGAAAATGTTTACCTAAATTTTATAAATACATTATACGAATGTAGAGACAGACAGACACAATTATATTTGCTGGAATTGCATCGAGATTTGGTGTTTCCTTATTACTTCAGTACTGCATTAAAAATATTTCTTAATATTTTATTCATCTTTTGTAATAAGCCGCCAGCTATATAACATCTTGAATGAATACATATATCCCTTAAATGTATCTTATCTACGTTATAACACTTAATATTATCCAATTAATATTACTTTATAGTTTTTATATCATGCGCGTTGCCTTAGACCCACGTTGAAACCTGTTGTTGAACGTAAAATTAAAGTCATTATCGGTACAATATCGGGACCCAAAGGTAATAATTCATAATCTCGCAATACTTTGCCGATAATCATTTTCATTTCAAGCATAGCAAATTTTTGTCCCACACAATTACGTGGACCGGCACTGAAGGGGACAAAAGCAAACGGATGCATTTTAGTAGTATTCTCTAATAAAAAACGTTCGGGAAGGAAGTCATCAGGATTCGAAAAATATTTAGGATCACGTGCGACGGCATGCAAAGGTATAACAATTTGAGTATTAGGAGGTAGAGTTAAATTTCCTAAAATATTCAAAATTACATAAAATGAAAACGCATCCAAAACTATTTCTAACCGATTTTGAATTCTTCCTCCGAAACACGTGTTATTAAAGGCACTGAAGGATGTAAACGCAATGCCTCCTTAATGACACATTCCAAATACTTTAAGTTTTGCAAGTCTTTCATAGTAATCGATTCAGTTTTGGATTTGTTTAACACATGTTGAACTTCTTCGTAGGCCTTCTGTTGTGCGTTGGGATGACGAGCAAGCAAGTATAACGTATGAGAAACGCCACTAGTGGTCGTATCATGTCCTTCAAACATGAACGTATCTACTTCTTCCCGTATATCGTCATTGCTTAATGGCTTACCATCGATTGTAGACTGCAGCAGAAGATCGAGAAAAGCTACACCTTTTTTAATACCGAATTCCGAGTGGTCTTCTGCTTCTAAAAGACGAGTAAAATTAAAATCTAAAAAGACACGAGGAAATAATTTTCGAAAATACCAGCATTTTTCTGATGGTTTTCTGTAATCGATTCGTGTAATCGTTTTCGCCTTTCTCGTATAATATTATCAGTGAACTCGTGCATAATTCTAACGCTTCTCTTTAAACGTATATTATCCAGCACATGGGTTATATGATAAATAATGTCCAAATAATAGGCTGGCTGAGTGACTCTGGCAGCTATGAGATGAGTAGTACTTCAAAATTATGGAAAAATTGATAAAATGTAATAAAAAAAAATTTGACAAAAACTTTCAATACTAACTCTGCCAATGCCTTAACATATGGCAAATTTGGGTGCTTCTGGGCATCAATTTTAACACCCATAGCAGTTTCTGTTATGATGTCCAAGGCAGTTGGACACACTTCCGAGAACATGTCAATCACTGTTTTGCCATCGGCTTTTCCTCGCAAACGTTCAACGAAAAGATCACTTTGTCGATCAAAGACTTCGATAAATTGCTCCAATATGGCAAAATGATACGAACGAGTAATAATTTTGCGCCTGGCGTGCCATTTTGAACCGCTGCTCAATAACAAGCCATCGTTTAGCCAACCTCGTAACACATCGTAAACGAAATTTTTCTTTATTATGCGTGGACTGCTTAAGATCGGTTCTAAGTACTCAACCTCTTGTACAATTACGAACAGAAAATTAAAAAACCAAAGCTGACAAACTTTACCATATTGTTCACGAAAATAACGCATTAAATTAAGAACATCTGGAATGTAGAGACAGAGAGAGAGAGAGAGAGAGACAGACAGAAAGAGAGAGGGAGAAAGAGAAAGAAACTCAATTAATAAAATATCTCGCATATATTCAAAGTCTTGACATAGATGGAATTGGGGCCTTTTAAGCCAGAGGAAGATATACGTTACTCCAACTGCTACCCGTACCAGTTCAATCACATACATCTCGATCGGGAATAACAAACAGTGCGAATGCTTATTGGTAATGAAACCCTGTTAATCATCCTCGACAACCTCGAGCGTCGGGATAACATTGGCTATGTACACACCTTTCCATATCAAGTATTCCCTTCAAGTATATAAAAGAAATGCTTCCAATAAACAAGTCCACTAATAGGACTACTTTGCTTCCTCATCAATTACCACTAGACTGCGTTTAATCTTTAATTTTCCTACTTGCTTATGGAAATACTTATCTGTTGGGGTGCTTCTAGCCGTTGCTGGTGTTCCTATATTTTAATCAAACGTCCATAAACAGTACACGCGTTTCTCTCCCCCCCACATATATAACTATTTCCGTGTTTACTTATATCGTAATCATTCGCCGCAGGGGCGTTGATCGATCTAAAAAAATCTAAAAATCTTATTTGATATCCACCGATTTGATTTTGTTTATTTTTAATTGATTCTCTTTCTGTTCAAATGTCTAGGATCCGTGCTTCCGTTAATATTCAATATTTCTTCTCTAACAATCATTAGATGTGTGGACATATTCAGGTATCTAAATCGATCTAGTATCTCATCTTGATGTATACATATCAACATATATTGCGTGTAGACATAATGAAAAGCTTAATAAGTGTACCTTCTCTGCCTCTCATTCTTGGCAAATGCATTTTCTTAAAACGCATTTAAACGACTTCGCTGCTAGTCACATGTTCTTAAACTTGATTTTTCGTTATTCTTGAAACCGGTTTTTCAAGAAAATGCAAGGTTATACTTTTCAATTTTGACATTATGTAAAAAAAAAAAAAACAAGAAAATTAGTATCTCTATATAGACGTATGTGTATATGCATTTAATTTGATATAAGTAATTATTATTATTATTGTTTATTAATCTCTTTCACGGTTTTAATTAATTAATTGTTTTCCGGAAAAATATAGATTTTTTTGCTGAAACGATGCTATGAATTAATTTGCCTCCTTGTATGAATTGTTCAGATACCATGAGATATCTTATAAGGAGCTAACAAAGAAATAGATCCATGTGGTTCAAATTAAGTTCACTTAATTTTTTCATTTAATTTCTAGCATGAGCAAATTTTCACCATGAAGTATTGGAAATTCCAACTTTTTACCATATAAAGCTTCCATTTCCGTAGGAACGGTTATATGAGAGGTGATTTAAAAAATTGCCGCCAGCGATCTAAAGTTTGCACAGCAACTTAGAATGTCGAAATACTAGTACTTAGTCACTTTTCCTGGGAAATTTTGGAAATCGTAATATTTTTCCATATAACGAAATTTCAGAATAGGGCGTTATATGCAGAGTGGTCGAAACAGTGGACCGATCCGCACCATTTTTAAAAACATCATTTTTCCTTGAGCCAATGTACGTCAGTGTACCAAATCTCATTTGAATATCTCAAAAATTGCGACCTGCAGCTTAACCATAAAAATATACATACACAGATCTCAGACGGACCGACAGGCTTAAATTGATTAAGAAA